GCTGTGAGGAGCATCAGTGAGACACTTGTCCTTCAGAGCAGAGCCTAAAGCTGTGCACAGCACTGAGAAAACACACACACACATACACTACAGCATCATGACATCTATAAATAAACTTTGTTTCTTTACAGCATGTGAGAACGAGTGTGTGTGTGTGTGTGTACTAACCATGGTCCCACTGAGCATGTGCAGTGTTGACAGAAAGATTCAGAATAATATTTTCCAGCTCGTCTTTCTCCCTCAGGTTCATATCTACTACAAAAACACAGAATGTTTTTCACTGGTTGTTCTGGTGACAGTGAAGGTAACATTTTATCACCACTGTAGTTCAGAAGTTAGGATTGTTGACACACTATCAACACCCCTCATTTCTGGACTTCTCCTCCTCTCTAAACTGATCAATATTTCACATGTGTTGAGTTCATTTAAATTTCAGATGATGACTGTCACGTGTGGAGCCGGTTGGTTAAGATCATCTCAAACATTAACTCATTAAACAATTAGAACAGATTTGACCTTCTACCTGTCTGTGAGGGGCAGCTGATGCCCCGCAGCAACAGTGAAGCCCCGTCATCATGTTGCAAGTTGATGCTCTGTGTGCTGCACTCTGGTGGTGGAACATGCATCTTCAGCCACAGGGGGTTGCTTTCTTGTACAGATGACACATTCGTTGTTTCGTTTGACAGCAGTTGACCACTAGAGGTCGCTGGTGTGGCTGTATGTGGGAGAAGAGAAGCCCCCAGGTCAGTGGAAGAAACCAGCAAGTGAAAAAGCAACTGTGCTGGGGACTGGCCCTGTTGACCAGCAGCTAACGCAGACACATGAGGCGGCCACTGGGGGGCGAAGGAGGAGTTCCCCCAATTCTGGGCAGAGTCTAAACAGTTGTGGTTCTGCCTATTTGGGTCTTTGTTGGGGCAGTTTGTTCTACATTGGTTAAAGACAGCAGTTTTCTGACAGTAGCAGTGAGGGAGGTTCTTCAGAGTGAAGGGTGGAGGGGGGTAATGAGAAGATGACTTGTGGGGGTGTGGACACTTTGGACATTTCAGTGGAGAGTCACAGCAGTGGAGCTGCATCGTTGCCTTTTGTGCACGATGCACTGCTAACATCTCTGCCAGATGTAATACTGCCGTCCTCAGCTGGGTGGAGCTGTGTTGTGTCCTCTGCTCCTCAGCTGCCTGGTTGTATGAGTCTGTCCATGCTATGATGTCCTCCAGGACATCTCTTGGTACAGTGTCCAGCTCAGTGTGGGCCACTGCAGACAGAAGGAGGTACTGCACCTGCTCCACCAGGGCCAGCGACTGCAGACCCAGTGAGTCCAGAACCTGTTTGATTCCGAGCAGCATGGTGGTGTGTTGCACTACACTGCATCTCAGATAGGGGTCAGACTGGATTCTGGACAACAGACATGGCCAGTGGTTGAGATGGACCCGCAACTCCTCACTGAGGAGGTTAAGATCAATCCTGAATGAAGTCCAAGAGTGAAGGATCTGGATCCAGAAAAACAACACAAACAAATGGCAAACCTATAAGAAAGTTCAACTCGACTTTTCTGTGAGTTTAAAGTCTGAATTCTTGATTAATTTAATAGAACATCAAACAAACAGTTTTGTTTTTTTCTGATCACCCTCTGTTCATCTGGGAGTTGGGTCACCTGCTGGCCCGTGGACCATACCTTAGATACCAGTGTTGTTTTATAATAACCAGACTGAAGTTTAACAGACAATAGTTTATAAAAACATTTGGTGTAACACACACATTGTGGTCCTGGTGTGAGTGTACCTGTGTCAGGTGACTTCTCATCAGCCGCTCCTCCAGGAGGTGCTGCAGTCTGGATATGTATGCTGCAGCCAGGCGACTCCTCCTGGTATACTCATGTAGGAGGAGCAGCAGAGCTCGGTGCTCCAGAAGTTTTCTCAGAGTTCTATAACACCGGCTCACACTGCTTTCACCAGGTGGCGCTCTCACACAGACCTGTAGAGGGAGTCAGAGCATCATGGTTACGGACACATTCAGTCAGGTTGTTCACAGAACAGAGTGCAGGAACCAACACACGTGAGTGAGCAGTTAGAACAGATGATCACAAACTGTCAACTGGTTTTACTGGATTTACTGGAAACAATTAGTGAATGGAAAAAGAAAATCAAAGGTCTATCGTTTGGACAGAGACTGAAAAGGTTTGAGGCCAAAAGGTCACCAATCAAATTGATCAGAGGAGGTCCACTTTGAATGGAACTTTTATTTTAAAAATGTCTACTTATTCTGTGTCAATTCATTTGTTTTCACCTCTTGTAACTGATCGTGATCTATGGTACTGTAACTTCATGCCCACTGAATACCGTGTCTCCCGGTACTTTACTTTCTTTCTTAAATGATTCTGCATTGTACTGACCACCAGTCTGTTTGATCGGTGCTGACTGATTCATGACGTCATCCACAGTGGTAACAGACCACTGTTAATAATTCATCAACATCTGAACTTGATAACAACAGATGACAACAAATGACCACTTCCCTCCAACCCAAACGTACATGGGCGGAGCCTGTCTGTGACCTGCAGAGCGCCACCTTCAGAAGAGCTTGTTGCAGCTGCAGCAGACGTGTGGACGACCTGGACACCAGGTCACATGTCACCACAAAGTTTCCTTCTTCTGCCTGGTGCTCCTCATCCTGACTGTAGCCGTGGAAAAGCCACTTCAGTCTGGGGTTGAAGGTGATTCCCAGTGAAGACTCTGCTCGCAGCAAACGCTGTGACCAGGAAACTGTGAAGACCAGACGCACAGGTACCTGATGTAACGTTCTGAAGGGACGGATGAAGACACTGACAGTGACAACAGACTGAGTCTATCAACCTGAGCCGGTGGATTTGAACTTCCTACCGTTGGTGGAGACGCCCTGTGTCACCTGGTGTCTCCTCTGAAAGAAAACAAACAAACAGTCAACACAGCTGGCTCGTACGGGGGAGGGGGGGGTCCAGTCACGTGACTAACCTGCTCCTCGTCTGAACACGACCACTCAGAGGTGTCCCACTCTGAAAGAAAGTTCATCCATAAAAACAGTGGATTATTGTGGCGTTTCCTCCGCTCACGGCTGCTTCTAGAGAAACAGCAAATCAGGACTCGGTACCTGTATGAGTGTGTTTGTCGTCACCTGGTGTCTGACCACACTCTTCATCAGGATCCTTGGGAATCTCAGGCCTGCTGGGCTCCATCCCACACTGGACCTAAACAGAGACCATGTGGTGAAGATGGACACCAGGTGATACCAGGTAGAACTTCCATATTCTCTCTCTTTCTCTCAGGTATCTGTAGCATGCATGTGTGTATGACAGAAAGGTGTCAAAGACTTAACAACAAGCTGAGGTCAGAGGCCATGCTTCATATTAGAGCAGGAAATGACATCATGCTTGGTTTCAGCCCAGTATCCCCGATCCTCATTGACTAATTACGTCACTTCAGTGTTGGCGATGATAAAACTCTAAACCTGGGGCCGGGGTTAAGGTTCGGTTCCGGTTCAGTCCATTCCTGGATTTCATACAGATAACCCGCTAACTCTTACATTAGAAACCAGTGTGGTATCGGTTCTGGACTAGAACATATTGTGGTGAAGATGTATAAAAAATCTAACTGACCGTCTTAACTGTGACACCGTTTCATTTCGTCACAACTCTGTTTATCTCATTCTGTCTGCGTGTGTTTCCAGGCGGGCTCAGCAACACTGACCCGTGACTGGAACTTTTGGAGCCAGTTTTGTTGTTATTACAATGTCCGCTCGTCGTCACGGTACAGCTCCCGGTGTAGGGGTACAGTCAGTCCGTGGAGTCGAACACGTTAATCCGCTGAAAGTCTGCTTTAAAATAGCATCTGAAACTAAAACAAGCCACAGAGCAGTAACCAATCAGCAAATGGCGTCGACTGTCGTTGTCTTCTTCGTGGACTACTATTTTCTTCTTCGTATGCGACAACGGTACTATTGCTGTAGTACCACTACCGCCCCCTCCGCTGCCGGGATCCGAGCTGCAACAGTCAAGTTGCTTCGTTAAATACAACGTATTTCATTTAAAAAGACTTCATTGGATTTCAGGACAATATTTTCAAATGAATTCAAAATAGTCTCATGGTTACCTTTATACACACTTAGTTACTTTAAAAACAAACAAAGAAGAGTTACCTGTGTCTTTATTTACACCCAACGTTTCTGCACCTAAAGGGTTCAGGTTCCCACGGTAACCGACTCAATATGAGTGAATGAATGAGTATATATATACAGTATGTATATATGTATATACACATACATATACCCTCACACACCCAACAGTACAGTATACATATATATATATATACTGTACTGACTGTGTTGACCTGTTGGATGTGTGTGGGAACACAAACAATAAAAACATCAGAAAGGTAAACAAACAATGTTTTTATTTTATTATCTGAAAAAGTAACACAATCCCTACAGAGTACCACATACACTAGAACAACAGTTACACCAGTACTACACATCAAAGGGACTTCTGGATATTATAGACATTTGAAAAAAAAAATCCCTCTTTATTGTTTAAATTATTTGACTAGGCATGACAGATAAACACCATTTACAAGGAGGGGGCGCCAGCAGTCATCAGTGGGATAAGTGTTACTGAACCTCCAGTTTTCCACACACTGCCGCTGATGTTCAGGGAAGACATTTGATGGACTGTCACTGTACAAAATCTCAGGTGACCGGGAGTGCGGAGGTGGGGCTGCATGGAGGACCACTGGGCCAGAGACTAGTTTGTGGGTGGAGTCAGAGAGGGAGGTGCAGTGCAAACATCAGATCAGTGAGAATTTACCTTATGAACTCCAGCTGTCAGTCTGTGAACAGAGCAGTTGAGGGACACTGAGGGAGCACTCTTGTACAACCAGTAGGGGGTGCTACTTTACTTCCTTTGTTTTCACTACAGCAGAAACATCAGAAGATAACCTGTTGATGAAGACATTCCAGCTCACTTCACTTTGTTAAAAGGACCCAGAACCAACCCTTTCCAGAAGGTTCAAAGTTGTGTTCACAGCAACTGCAGGATCAGAACAGCAGAAAAAACATTTTTAAATAAAACCAAAATAAAGGATGAAATAAAGGAAAAAGAAATCTTTCGACACTATTTTCACAGCCTTTGTCAAGTTGAAAAATCAAATAAAGTGATAGGACTGACGTGACAAATCACCAAGGTCAAATTCAGTTCATGTTCTCCAGAGTTTGTCAGGTGACTAGCAGCTGTGGTGATAAAACAATTCTTTAAGTAGTAAATGGAACTTTTATTTTGAAGCTGCTCTGCTGTCTTCTCTTTTAATAAGCTCTCTGAGGACTTTTATTCTGAAAGGAATATTCACGAGTCAACAGGTGTTTGTTACTGCCACTCTGGTCATTTAACTTTAATTTTTAAATTAAATGGTGAGTTACTTACTTTCTCTTTGGCTCGGTACTTAATAACTTGGTTTGACAGCCTAATGTTTTGACACGTCTGCTTTTCCTGACAGTTGATTTAACAGTTATTACAGAAACACAACCTGCTCTGACCACTGTCAGTGGGTCACATGACAACTGCAGTGTGGGCTGTTCTGTTGACTTTTGTTTCTCTGATACAGCTGTGGTGTGAACATGATTCTCAGCTACAGCAGCCCTCGTTTCCCAGACAACGAAAAATTCAAACCGACTGAGGTTCAGCCCTGAAGTACTGGACCAACAGTGTTGGAGGTCGTGCTGACAGAGGCTGCTGATCTGATCACAGTTTAATCACATTCAGAACAGCCATTCTGCATTCTGTGTGGTACTATGACTGACAGGGGTGACGAAGTAGTTTGGATGGTTTTGGAAAAGGTCAGGAGGTACTTCCTGTCTGAATCACGGCGACAGTTACCGCTTTACTGATAAAGGTTTCTTTGATGGCCTTTTATGGTCACTGACAGGGCTGGGGCGTGGTGAGGTCAGAGTGGGGCCAGACATGATTGTCTCTTTGATCTTGTGAACAGCAGCTGCAGGTGGAGCAGGTAAATGTCTCAGATGTGTTTACTGACCCAGGTAGACAGACAACTGTGGTCCAGCTACAGCAGGATGGACAACACCTGTAACAACCACCCAGGACTAAGGTGGTGCTGTTGTAACAACGACTGACAGCTGAGGGGGGAGAGGTGGCGTCAGAGAGGAATCAATCAAACGAACAAATCAAAGTCACTGCCATCAGAGGAGAGGAAATACTGTGTGTACTGTAATACTGTAATACTGCAGATACAGCATCGTCCTCTGAAGACTGAAGTGACTGTCAGTAAAGATCGTAGCACCAGTGTGACACAAACACACACACACACACACACACTGAAGTCACACCTGTGCCTGTGGAGTGATACCAGTGTGGACATATGCAGCTCTGACCTTTGACCTGCACCTCCTCTGCTCAAAGCCACACCCCCTGACGTTATCATGAATCACTTCAGCTGATGATTGGCTGAAGGAGTCGACCTTCTGTGGCGTTAGAGCTCCTGGTCTTGGTAATATGAAATTTAACACTAAAGAAGTGAGATGTTAACGACATCTAGTGGTGGAGTTGGACGTTGCCGTTTTCACACACCTGTCTCAAATCATCAGTCTCACCGAGTCTGTTCAGTTATCAGCGACAGCCCTGACCCCCTCCCTCAACCCCCACCCTCCACCCCCCGCCCCCACCTGTAATTTGGTGAAGAGGCTTCAACACAGCACACAGCCCTGTCAGCCACGACCTTGGCTTCATGTGGACTCATGAGCGACGACCGTCTGAAGCCTTCACTACGACTTCAACAGTCAGACTCAACCAGATCCACCACCAAGTGGACAACTTCACAAACTGCAATAATATTGTGCAGATCTATAAATAAAATACTCTTTTGCCTCAGTCTTGTTTTTTAACTGATCTCTTTTTAAAACAGGTTCTTCAATACCTATAAAAATAGTGTGACGTCATTTCCTCACTGTCTCAGTTTGCAGCCAACTCCAGTTTCTCCAACCATCACAGATAACTGCTCTGCTCCTCACAAGGCCTCAGTCCAAATCCTCAGTGGATCTGTGCTCGCAGGGAGTGACCTCACACTCACGACCACAAGAGGGCAGTAGATTCAGCATTAACGTCAATAGAAAAACTCTGGTCTGAAAATTGCTTTACCATCTGACTAGTGACCAGACGAGGCTGCTGCTGTTACTGCCAGTGGAGAAAAACTAAAACACTGAAAAACACTAAAGATTAAAAAGAAAAAACGTTTTATCAGAAATACTGTTGTCAAAAACAAAAACTAACAAAGTGAAGAATGAATGTTCACAGGATGGGGGTGTGCAGCACTACACTATTGGAACTGTTCACATTCATTAAACAGCTGGAGGACTCCCCCATCCCCATC